AAATGTCTTGTGACACCTGACAAGTGCCCTCATTCCCTGTTTAACTCACAACAGTTGAAACAGCTCAACATCTGAGAACTGACATCAAGGAGAGCAGAGTAACAAGCTGCTTTGCTAGAGATGCTCACATTAGCAAGAGGAAAGGGAGAACATGAGACTACAGCACTGTCTCAGTTGTGTTTATTTACAGATTCAGTAAGAAACTTTTCCCCTGAATTAATACTTATATTTTGATGTGAGTGAAGTAAAGTCCTTTGGGTATTCCCTGTTGCTTAGGCTGCACTGTATGTGGAAAAAAAATTCCTTCAGGTCATAGCTTGGCTTTTCAGTCCTGTATATGGAGACTTTATTAGTAAGTGGCTGAAATGCAAGTAAAAGCAAGGAATTCTTTAATTACTTCCCATGCGCAGGCAGGCGTTCAGCCATTCCCAGGAAAGCTGGGCCCCATCATGCATAACAGTTTCTTGGGAAGACAAAAGTCATAACTCCAAACATCCCCCCCTTCCTCCTTCTATGTCTCCTCCCAGCTTCCCACACACCTCCAGCCTCCTCACCAGTGTGGCAGTACAAAAAGCAGAAAAGGCCTTGGCTCTGTCCTAAAACTGCTCAGCAATAATAAAGCCATCTCTATATTATCAACCCTGTGATCAGCACAATTTCAAAACATATCCCCATATTAGCCGTTGTGAAGAAACTTAACTCTACCCCAGCCAAAATCAATCCACATAACAGGGTAAGAGACTCTGGAATCATAAGATAAGAATGCTGACCTTGCGAACGCCACTGCTTTGCCAGCTGTGGGAACAGTAGTACGACATCTCAGCTGAAATGTGGATGGTCATTTATTTTGTGTTCAGTCTCTTGTCCTTGTTTTGTAGCGGAGGGAACATATCCCGGTGAAAACCATATAGGGGAAACTTGACAAATGGGAACTTGCAGTATTTCCTGTTCCCACTTACTGCCTTGGGAGCAGTTACTGAAGTTACTGACCTGTAGCTTCAGATATATCAGCACTGTCTGTTGGGGCTGGTCAGATGCTCAGTAGGTGTGAAAAAGCAACACTTATCAAGTGACCTTATAATACTACCTAAAAATGAAGACTTTGAGGGTAAATATATCCATTAGTCAACGTGAGATGTGGCCAGTACTTCATCATCTGAGTCATCTTCACAGCTTTTTCTTCAATAGAAATTCCCCAGTTTATTATTGGAGTATTTCTTACTGGGCAGCTTCCATGCAGTCTAGAGGGTGGAGAACAAGTAGTTCTTTAGTAACTGGAGAACAAGTAGTTGTTTAGGGGAAAAAAAGTTCTTGGAGTGTTTGGAAAAAGAAGTAACTGAGGAAGTATTAGTCATTCCCTGTGTATAAAACCAGTCATAATTTGTATGTATTACAGTCTTTTAGTTAGACCATGTCAAAAGAGTGTCTTGAATACTAAAATAAATTAAGCTTATCTTTTGTGTAATAGATCACAGGCTCACCTGGGATTGTATAACATTTGAAAAAACTAACTCAAATTGTGAAGAAAGTGAATTAAACGGACTCCTTTACTATAGTTAAAAAGAAGGATACCCTCAGGCACTGTTGATCTCTTTCCTTTTTATATTTTTCTTTCCCGTAGATGTGATTTGTTTTGCTCAGATTTACAGTTTTGTGTACAATAGCAATTGTCCTCCTACTTGATGGTGAGCTTTAGGGTTCCTAAAGAGAGTTAGTTCAACCTCTGATTTAATAGAGCTTTTATTTTTCCAGCCCTCTAAACCTCTGGCTTCCTGGAGAATTAGGAAAAGCTTTAGCACAAGCATCGCCCATTTCCTTTGCCAATTTCATCTTTGCCTGTTTCTTTAGTAAGTGGGTGTTACTGTTTCTCTTCCCTTCTTATCGGCAGGGGATTTTTGGAAAAAAGGCTGAAGCAGCAACTGTGCTTTATTAAAAGTCCACCCAGTCCCACAGGCCAGCGGGGTACTGCTGGAGGAGCCTTGGTCTGCGTAGAAGCGAAGTATCTAGACTGCTCTTCTGGAGCTTCTGCTCCTCCAAACCAATGCCATGCCAGTTTGGAGATAGTTCTTCCATTTCCCTCTCTAACACTACTTTGAAAAAAACTTGCCGGAATAAAGACTGTTTCCTTTTGAAGGTACATAAACATGTAAGGGGGACCATATATATATATGGTATACCATATGTCTCTTCCCAGTTCAGACCCTGACCTTCCCTTCCTGTTCTTACTTTATCTTTGACCTCTTCTCTGTCAGCTGAGTGTCAGTTGTATTTGTACGAGTAAACCAAACCAATATTCTTCACCAGACCTTTATGCTGCACAAGTGAAGAAGCAAATCTCTTTGTGCTCTGCCTCATCTGGCCAGCTCAAATTCCTTGCAGCATCCTGAAGTCTTGGTGATGGCATCACAGAGGGCAAGAGCTGCTGAATGTCATCAGAAAATTAAGTCTGCCGTTTCCACTGTGCTTTATACACCGTATTTAGAATAAAATAAACCTGAGCCCCAAAGTTTGTACCTGGTAAAGTCTGCCATCTCCTTTTTAAGGGTTAATGTCAAATATTGATGTTTTGAAGTCTTTTTTTTGTGCCTTGCTTTCATGTGTCCCAAACTAACTTTCAGCTTTATTGTCTTGCATTTATATCATCTTACAAATGATATAAAATGAAGGCAAAATAGTCAATGCAAGTTTATAGATATTACAGAGCTTTATGTGGAAGAAATAAGAAAAGCTATGAGTACTGGGCTCTAGAGGAATGAATAAAAATACAAGAAGTTGATGAAGATAGTGAAAATTGATCATTCCATCCTTTGTATGGTATCCCATTATTTGGTTGCTAACTCAAAGTTATTGCTAAATAATTTAAAGAAAAAAATACCCACGTCAACATATTTTCTATATCATGGATGGTAATAATGTAATTTTTGTTTCATAAAGCAGAGGTTCCTTTCCTAAATAATTTATTCAGGAAGAAGGTGCACTATAAAGCTGTGAAAGGATAATGTAGTAATTGGAGTGTATTGCTTACAGGAAAACCAAGTAAAGAGCAATAGCTGAGTTTATAAATGATTTGGAGACATGTACGTGTCATTCTAAATCATCACTGTAAGGGGAAAGAAATCCTTTTGGTGCTCTTACCACTTTTCCTGAGCTGTTCTGTACACTTCGGCTCTACTTGTCTTTTGCAATGGTTGATGAGTTGATCCTCCAGTTTGGTGTGATGAACCACCTTGGTGCCAACTGACCCTATCTAAGAGGGACCATCATTTTTCATCATTGTTTTCTCTGCTTACCCCAAGTACCTAAGTTACAATGCTAAAAGGAAACAAATGCTTGTATTTTGTAAAATGTAGTGAGCCTCTTTCCAAGGAATTTTGGAAAACTGGTTCTAGTTGCAGTAAAATACTCCTCCTGTGTGCTTACTTGAGTACGTTTCTGCTGAATAAAGGATATTTTGCAACATCACGTGGTTATCTCAGAATCTCCAGTCAGAGTTGTCACTGAGTTGCCCCTTAGCCTGTTTACTTTTTAATCTAAATTTAGTGCAGACAAATATGAATCTAATTTTTGTAGGGTTTACTTAGATATAAAATTAACCAGTTATTGTTTGGCTGATTTTCAAAAAGAGACTAAGGTTTTGCAAACCTTTGGGTATAATTTTGAAATTTATTAGAAAATAGTACCCCAAAATTGCATTTCTCTCAATTAAAAAAAAATCCAAACTTGCATATGATAGAAGTTTGTTCGGTTTCTGAGAGTCTGCTGTTAAAAAAAAAAAAAAAGGGAGAAAAAAGTAAATATAAGTTTTTTTTTTTTTTACTTCTGCTTTTTCTGGCATATGATATGTTCCAAATATGATAGTATTTTCCCCCTCAATTTGAATTTTAAAATTATGACAGATTTTGCTAAGTTATATTTCTTTTGTATTTGTATTTCTGTGAAATTTACCTTTCAAATAGGCATTAATAACAGTTGTATTTTATTTTTTTGGAGTTTGAATTTGCAACCTTAAATGTAGGGCAAAAACACAATACAAGAGTATATTTTGCAACCCTTGCTTACACTGAGTAGTAATTATTCAAATAAGCCTGTGCTGAATACTTATGTACATAAATATTCACATGTAACTCAGTTTGTAGTTTCGTGATAAAGCAACAGAAGCTCCATCAGAAAAACCAGGGTAAGGAGTTCTCCTTTTCTTCTTCCTTCTGTCTGCATGTTTCTGCTCTCTACCCAGAGCAGCTCATGTTGCCTGTTCACTTACCCCACTGCAGCCATTTGCAGGGACACAGTATGACCTTGATCAGCAAACTTATCTGAATTAATTTAAATGAAGGAGGAAAAAATATTCTGAAAGACTTACATATTTGAGTCAGAATTACAAGGCACCACCTGTGTATTTAAAATTGACATTTTGATACTTTTAAAAATTGAATTAGTGAATAATGAATAATTTTTATTAATGTACTGCCCTAGGATATAAGTTTTCAATGTTAAATATACAGATCTGGAATTGATAATGGTTTGAATTGATGTGTCCCAAATCTGAAAAAAGCTATTGTGCAGGATGCATGAAACCCAAGTCAGAAAGCTGAGGATGTTGATTTGTTAGAATGGGCATCTTGAATGCTCATCAGCTTAGTATAAGACTTTGCACTAAAGGACCCAAATTCGTGGGGAAACGTTAGTATTACTAACGAGCTGTTGAAACTCAGAAAACAGTTACACCTTGATTTTATTTTTGTTTTGAGCCACAAACAAATGTTTCCTGTTGGTGTTTGGTTTATGGCTGTTGTGGTGTGTGTTTTTCAGAGTGCCTTTTTTCTTGTGAACTCCTCCATGACTATGTGTGATACAAAGCTTTGTGCCATAAAAAGTGACAATACCTTATTATATTTGGGTCAGAGAAGCCCTGGTCAGATTGTGATGCACTTTCTCTTTTCTATTTACTAGAACTTCCACTGGGACTTTCATACATTTATTGAACTGTTTGAATGTTGCAGGTGCTTACCATCCAACCAGCTTACGGTGACTAATTGTTTCAATAAACAAACACAATCCAGGAGCTGGGAGTGGGAACCAGAAGATATATGGGTAATGTTGAAACACCTGAGCTTACCACATCACTTAGTGCCTCAATTTTCCCTAGTGAAAACTGGGAAAGCTGACAGGCATAAGAAGCTCTGTGTACAAATGAAAATGTACTTTGTGCACCTTGACCAATATTGACCTATCAGATTTATCTGAACAGTTGTTTTCATTTGTTTTAAGAGAGGTGTGTGGTGACTTCATGGCTCTATAGGTGAATATTTGTATAATGTGAAGATAGTGCAAGTTGATGCATGTATTTCGATACTTAAAGTTGAGAATGTTTTCCCACCCTAAAAAAAAGCTGAGAATCTGTAACTCTTTCTGATTTCAGTCCTAATTCTGAGTCTTCAACATCTCTGCAAATTAGATCATGTTTGTTATCATGTAGCTAAGGTTGGCAGGGAACAGGGCAAGTTCTTGGCAGAAGTCATACTGTTAAAAGTTTATATGGGTGTCAGCATGAAATTCCCACAGCTGTTTATAACAAGATAACAACGTGTCACGCAAACAGCTTCATGTTCTGAGGGATGTCTGGGAACAATGGAGTGTTTGGGGAGGAAGTGTGCAGAAAATGTCTAAAGCTGTATTGAAGAAAAGCAGTGACATATGGATTTGATAAGTGGCAAGGGTGACTGTTACAGGGGCTTCTTAATGGAGTATTGGAATTTTGGAAAAGAACTTCCAGAATAATGAGTGGGGGTGCAGTTGTCCTGAGCCTTATTTATTGAAACAGAAATGTGTCTGGAGCCACTGACTTGGAAATAACCTCAAACAAAACAGCTTTCTGTGACCAAATGCAGATTCAAAGGCTGATCTTGTGACCTAGGAAACTGGTTCTAATCTGCTGAGATCTCCATAGCAGGGCTAATTCAGTGTAGCAACCAGGTGCAGACATTGACCAATTACATTGTTGGTATTTTTATTTTTTAACCCCAATTTTGTCAAAAGGATTTTTTTTCTCTTGTGTAATGTTAATGTGACCAAAGAGGGCTGATGGGAAATAAAATATTTTAGCATTATCAGTATTGAGAAATCATAGTTAATTTTGCATCCCTCTTGTGCTCTCCAGTGCAGCAGTCTAGGGATCTCTGAGATCACAGTTTCTAAGATGAATAATAATTATTTTTTTCTTAAGTACCAATGGAGAATTTTTACTATGGAGAACAGAATAATTGTTTTTAGTAGGAGAGCCTGTGATGGGAACCCTTAAAGTTTTGTGTGCATTAAGCTAGTGTGAAAGTTAATACTGACTTTTAATTTTTTGAACAGTGTTTGTATTTTCAGTTTGTGGTAGTATTCTTCCTTCCACAATTACCTTTAAGATTGCCAATTTATTTTTAGAAGGGCAATAAATCAGAATTGGACCGCTTTAGTAGTTACAGAATATATTCAAGACGATTACTATTAAAAAAGATCTTGCCTTCTTCCCAGCAATATGATGTGACCAACAAAATGTATGTGTGTATACATATCAAAAGAAGAGAAATAACAAAAAGAGATTATTGATAGCAATCACAATTTCCAGTCCAATTATAGTCTTTTACTTATGCATCCTAACCTGGTCTTATTTTATGGTTCCATGTAAACTGCAGAGTAATTTTTTTAGCGTATGCAGAGATATTCATTGAAAAGAAAAGGATATTTTAAAGCAGGGAACAACTACATCCAGTTGTTGAAATGGCAGGAGTATGGGATATGAGAGCTTAGCCAGGTGGTGCCATGGGCAGGGCTGGCAGAAAGAGGAAAAAAAGGGAAAGGGAGAAAAGGATTTCTGGAACAGCTTCTCCACAGGCTCTCCCACACCTTTCATTCCTGCCTCTGTGCCACCTCATTTGATGAGTCCATGCAGGCAGCTGTCTGTGCTGCATGATGAAATGTCTGGTTGGATCCCTTCCCTAGCTTGCTTCCCAGCCCAGTGGGAGGAACGCTTGCACCAGCACAAGGCAGGGTGGCACAACAGGGTGGTGGTGAGCAGGTGAGGGAGAAGGTTGGCATCATTGCAAAGAACAGAGAGATTGCCTGACAATGTCTCTGGCAGGACCCTGTAGCCAGATTTGCAAACAAATTAACTGTGGGTGAGATTTTTTTTTTTGTACTCCTACGTCTGTGCTACAGGTATCAGTCATGCTGTAGAACTTCAAAGCATCTTGATGTTACTGAGCCCCCTGTCCTGGGGGGCATCAGGCAAAGCATCGCCAGCTGGTCGAGGGAGGGGATTGTCCGCTCTGCTCTGCACTGGTGCGGCCTTACCTTGAACATTGTGTGCAGTTTTGGGCTCCACAATATAAGAAAGATATTAAGCTGTTAGAGAGCATCCAAAGGAGGGCAATAAAGACAGTGAAGGGCCTTGAGGGGAAGCCGTATGAGGAGCGGCTGAGGGCACTTGGTCTGTTCAGCCTGGAGGAGACTGATGGGACACCTCATTGCAGTCACAGCTTCCTTATGAGCGGAAGATGAGGGACATGCACTGATCTCTTCTCTGTGGTGACCAGTGACTGAACCCAAGGGAATGGTCTGAAGTTGTGTTGGGGGAGGTTTAGGTTGGGTATTAAAAAGAGGTTCTTCACCCCAAGGGTGATTGGGTACTGGAACAGGCTCCCCAGGGAAGTGGTCACAGCAGCAAACCTGTCTGAGTTCCAGAAGTGTTTAGATAATACTCTCAGGCACATGGTATGATCTTGAGGCTGTCCTGTGCAGGACCAGAAGCTTGACTTTGATGATCCTTGTGGGTCTCTTCTAGCTCAGGATATTCTATGATCTTCAATTTTATATGTAGAACTCTTTTGCAAATGGCACGTATACATACACAGACCTTAGCAATTATAACTTGTATGCAGGTTAGGACTTTGTGGTAAAGAGCACAAAGGTACACTCCTGTTTACCTGAAGCACATTTCAGACTTCTCACCCATATTATCTGTGACATAGGCTGCAGTGTACCTTATTTCATCCCAGTCATGTACAGCTTTTGGCTTCCTGGGAATGCGCTAGTTCAGACCTCAGCTGAGCAAAGCCTGAACTTTTTTGTCTAATAATTAACTTTTGTAAACTTCCAGATGCTGACAATGAGCTCCAGCTTTCTGTATATTCAGGCAGTTTCATTTAGAAGCTCTTTTTACTACAGAAATCTCCAACTCTGTGATCCTCCAGAGATGTAATGATTTATTCCTCTCGTCTTCACAGGAATTGATGTTCAATGGCTAGAAAGAGAGCTGACAAGGGGCTGAAATGAATATGACTACTATCCTACAAGAGATTTTGATTAAAAGATCACAGCAGAAGAAGAGGACTTCCCCCTTAAACTACAAAGAGAGGCTTTTTGTACTTACGAAGTCTATGCTAACATATTATGAAGGTCGAGCAGAGGTAAGAGGCACAGATTTATACTACCAAGTACCTTTGTTCCTTTTTGCTTTTGTATAATATTTGCTTTTTTCCTACTATATATCATACTGTCGTGAGCAGATGGGGGAAATGGTCATTGGCAGGAAGGAACATGAGCTGCCATTCCTCTTATTTACAATGCAGGTTGACAGAGGTGTAGATAACTTATCTGGTAGTCAATTTAACCGGTTCTCAGAGCTGTAGTACATTGCCTGGATGGCAGAAATAACAGAAAACAGCATTTATAGCTGGTCATCAAGGCTGATTTCTTTCTCCAGAGAGATGAAAAATCACTGCTTTCACAAAGTGGCAAAGAGATGGAAAAACTTAAAAATCATAGTTGCTTGTGGCTGTGTTTACTGTGAAGGCAATTACTTTAACATCTGGGAATTAACTGGATTCGAACAGGAGGAGCATTTGATAGGAGCAGTGCGTTGCAGACCAAGTTCCTCAGAGATGAGATCCATTAGAGTGGATCATGCAACCTAATGATTGAAGTGAAGCTGGAAATAGTTTATCTTTAACCACACAAACAATTCATCCCTGTTACCACTTTCTGTGTAAATTCAGTTACACGAGAAGTAACTAGTGTAAACTATGCAAATCCTCAGACCAGCATTTTTTCAAATGAGCTCCAGACTCAGTTTCATCAAGGTCACCTACCCCCAGCATACCTTGTCATATCCTTAGTGCTGGGAGTGCGATTTTCCACTTAACTGAGGCTCCTTTCCATATTTGTCACAAATGGCTACAAAAGCTAGGGTAACATGCCGTTACCAACATGTTGGGAAGCCATTTAACAATAAAACTTAATGGAGACAACCCTACAACCTCTTGTGTTGGCTGTTTTACCTCTAGTGAAAGAAGAGGGTACAGGAGAGAGCTAATGGTTACTAAGCATGTGTCTCTGCCAGACCTTGTGGTTGCACCAGAACTGAATTCACCATGCTGTCAGGATGACAGCAGTCGGTGTAGCTGCCATTCTCTGACACAGTCAGGGATTAAGAACAAGATCATAGACTGACTGGGGTTGGAAGGGGCCCCTGGAGGCCCTCTGGTCCAAGCCCTGTGCTCAAGCAGAGCCACATAGAGCTGATTGCCTGGGACCAGCTGGCAGTTGAATATCTATGTCCAGATGGCTGTTGAATATCTCCATGGACGGAGTTTTCACAACCTTGCTGGGCAACCTGTGCCAGTGCTTGGTCACCCTCACAGTAAAAAACACATTGTTTTCCTGATGTTCAGGTGGAGCCTCTTGTCTTTCAGTTTGTGCTCACTGGTTCTGGTCCTGACACTGGGCGCTGCTGGAAATAGCCTGTCTCTGTCCTCTTTGCACCCTCCCTTCAGGCATTTTATGTCTCTCTGAATGGCACCATGACCCTCTGGTGTATCAGTCACTCCTATTTTGGTGTCATCAGCAAACTTGCTGAGGGTACACTCTGCTCCATCATCCAGGTCATTAAGGAAGATATTGAACAAGACTGGACCTCTGGGGTACAGTGCTAGTTACGGGCCTCTGACTAGACTTTCTGCCCTCTGGGTCCAGCTGTTCAACCCTGGAGTATGAATCAGTGTGTTTTTACTGACTGTGGAGTTGAGATATGTATGCTTTCCCTCTCAGAGAATAAAGAGGTGGGGGCTAAGAAGCCCTCTTAAACATGTCTTGCATACTTATCTTGTGTCAGCTCATGTTCAGAACAAATAGAAATCCAACAAACAGGTTTTACAGGTCTACTTGTCACTCTTTAAGAAGTTACCAGTTCCAGCTTTCCCCTTCCAGCTTTCCTGATCCTCTCCAGGTTAATGTCCTCTGGCTAAAATACCTTTCCAAGAGACTGACTTGTGGATCTGTCTGAGAGGGGGTTTGAACTATGAGTTTAGTTTGCAGTGAGATGGAGTAGGGCTGCCCATAGTGCCCTCAGCTGAGGAGGCAGTAACTTCTTAAAATGTTCCAGTTTAAGATACAGACAGTTGGGCTGAAATATTATGCCTACACTAGGCCATCAGTTTGCTGCTGAAACAGGCAGGTTCATCTCATCCATGTCCTAGCCTTGCTAGCCTCCCCCATTGACTTGAATTGGACCTGGCACTTCTTGGAACCCATACTGCTCTGAAAAATATTGCTAATCATAGAATGGCCTGGATTGGGAGGGACCTTGAAGATCATCTTGTTCCAACCTCTGCCATGGGCAGGGACACCTTCCACTAGACCAGGTTGCTCAGAACTCCATCCAACCTGACCTTGAACACTTCCAGGGATAGGGCATCCACAACCTCTCTTGGCAACCTGTTCCACCCTCACAGTAAAGCATTTTTTCCTAGTATCTAATCTAAAACCCACTCTCTTTCAGTTTGAATCCATTCCTCTCTGTCCTGTCACTTGTAAATATCTCTCTCTGTTTTTCCTGAAAGTCCCCTTTAGGTACTGGAAGGCCACAACTAGGTCAGCAGAAAGATATTTGATCTGGTTTTATTTTTTCTGGATTAGTGTTCCGCTGGGTTAGCAAGCTACATAAGCTGGGTGCAGGATCTAACAAGCGCCAGAGGCTGTGCCAGGCAGTGGAGGAGAACAGGATTGTTGACATCAGCAGGTTGCTAGACTGGCTCAGTCATGACACATAACTTTCCAGCCTAAAACCATTTTTATTTTCACTGTTCTTCTCATTTTAGATTCTTTTAAACATTAGTCAGCATTTTATTTTATTGACAATATTGTTTGAAAATAATGAGCTCTGATCCTAGGGAGGCATACTGAATATTTTTTTCTGTTTGAAAAAAAATTACTCTGTGACTAAGATCTCTGTGACACAGTGGTAGTTATTCCTTTATGTCACTGGGCAACTTAAATGGATAAAATGTTTGGGGGTTTTATCATTTGTTTGGTTATTGTTTGTGGGGTTTTTAAAGTCTGTTACAGTGGCATTAAATTTACATTTACAGTAAGACATGCATATTTTGGCTGAGGTAATTTATATAAAGGGGAAAAAAGTTACTAGAGATCAAAATAATTCTTCCCCCTCTGAATGGTTGGGGGTTTATTGCTGAAATAAATGTGAATACTGTTTGAATTTAAAGACATGACAAATGAAAGGATGGGTACAGACTGATCTCATTTCGGGCTTGGCGATATTCAAACTCCAGATTGGTAAAATAAGCGTGGAAATCCCAAGACAAGAGGATCCCACACCCTCATTTTAATCCCATCACTGCAGTAGTAGCAATCTGCCAAGAGTGGCTGAGTTCTGCTCCTCTAGGCAAGTGTATGATTCCCAGAGTGGTTGTTGGCCAAGCTGAAGTATTTTCTTTTCTTCCATTTTAACTTCTATGGGAGTTCAGTAAAAAGTTCAAGAAAACCCCAGGGTTTGTGGGCTTGTGAATAATCATACCCCTTCTTTTTAAAACCAAGATTAAACTAAATCTCGTTAACCAGATTAGTCAATACTCAAAGTGTGGGCTGGTCAGGATTGTAAATAAGGTGACAGAATTAGATATTTGGTATGTCTGATGACAGAAATGGAACATTTATGGCAACAGAAAGCAGTCAACCATAACAAATATTGTTCTTGTAAACACTGCAGAGAGATTTAATTGTACTTTGCAGCTGGTAGTCAAGCATCACTTGCTCTTTGACCAACACTGCACTTTATAGAAGCATTCTTTGTTTTCTTCTGTCCTATGTCCTGACAAAGTACCATATTACCTACTTGGAGCAATAAATTATTATCTCTCAAACATGACTACAAGCAGCAGGCTAAAATCTTGTTTTAACTTACTCATAACCAATTTAAATCTTTCTATATGTGCTTTCAAGCAGATCAGGCTCCCTGTCATGGTACAAAGTGCCCACAGTGAAGCTGGAACTGCACTGCTGCTATGAGAAGGAGAATTATAGTTTCTGCATTTAGAAATATTGCACTACTGTAGGTCATGGAGGAGGTGTGTGAACTATCGATGGAGTATAACTACACAATTGGTGAAGAGGCTGAATTTCGAGACTGATTTCAAAGTACAGAATCCTAAGGAAGGAGAGTCCTGGTTTAGGTCACCTGTGCAAAGCTCTACAATTATGATTGATGCAATGAGAAGCCTACTTTGTGTAGGAAGTCAGTAGGACCTTGGCTCTTATGGTTTAATTTCTTCTGGGCATTATGCTGTTGGATAAAAAAACTGAAGAAATATCACTTTTAGGTTTGTTAAAAGGATGGACGCTAAGAAGCTTGAAAATAAAGATACATCAGGAAGAAACTTACCTTAAGCATCATGGAGATGAGCTTTTACTGTCATTAAAGAGGAATATTCTGTTTAAGCTGGGATGTCTTCTGGTTTTGTTTTGATTTTTTTTTTTTCTTTTTGGTCATGAGTTCTGAGAATCAGTAAGTGTAACTGTTGGGGAAATGCCATCATTGCACTATTGAGCAATATTGGGCTAACAATAATTACAAGTATATAAAAAGCTGTGTTAATATTGTTTCATGAAGCCCTTAATGGTTTAGCTGCTGTCATTATTAGAAACAGTATTTTCTGTATTTTTTTCCTTAATGTTGCGAAAGTGGCTAATGAAATCTGAATGTGATGGGTTCCATTTGTAATGAAGATAAAAGTTCATTGTAGTAAGAAATAACTCAATCGGTCTCCAAGCACAGAGTACTGGTCCTGAATGTATAAAAATAGGGAAGAAGTAAAATATCTTCCTATTCTCAGTATGCAGATGTACTATAAAACTGAATACGCTGCAGTCAGAAAGACTTAAGATATGTACACTGTTCTCAAATATGCATTGTAGACTTACCAAACCAGCTTTAAACACATTTATGTAGACAGTAGTAACTATGGCGATTTGAAAGTGGGGGCTGGTAGGCATTTTTTCACAAACTGGCCCTTGCTCTTGAGAACTGCTGCACTATTCTTACTGGTGTCAGCTGGAGTAATTGATTGCAGTGCAACTTCTCTGGATAATCTGGTTGTATAGCAAGGGCATATAG